AAATCCAGGTCAACTACGAGCCTTGAAATTGATAACTAGTGGCAGATTCGCTTTTTGAAAAAAAAAAAACCTCATTGAGAGTAGCGATCCATGCAATTCATAGTTTAGGGCTGACATATACGTCAAGGATAAGTGTGAAATGAAATGAAGTGCAGGGCGCAAACTGATGCTTGCACTCTTTTAGAGAATCCTAAAGTATTTCCAGCTCATTAATCATTCATGTTTTGCCCTCTCGCTCCCACTCTTCACCGCTTTTTGTTTGTTTTAATTTCAATAGGCAACATAATAGCAAACATAGACGAATGTAAATAAAGCCGTCGTAAAATCCAATCTGAGATCTAGGAGCACCTGCTCGAGAAGGGAAGCATTTTCAGGTGGGTCGAATCGATAAGGACTACCCGTTTGTAGATGCTCATAAAGCGCCCTGCCTGGAAGTGGCATGGAGTCCCTTCAACGACAACGTCATCGCATCGTGCTCTGAGGATACCACCGCCAAGGTATGGCCCATAGAACTTTAGTTTCCGGTCATTCTCATAAAGTGCTACTGCAGTCGAGGTTAATACCTTTATTCAATTAAAACTATGAATCCTTGCCGCGACTATCCTCAGCAGACTTGGAGAAGCTGTAGTGCAATCAATACTGAAGAATTGTGCGAGCACAAGGCCCTAATTTACAGGTATGGCTGATCCCTGAAAGAGGCCTAATGAGAAATCTTACGGAGCCAGCTGTCGAACTGTGTGGCCATCAAAAGAGAGTCAACACACTCGCATGGCACCCTGTTGCCAATAATCTTCTGCTTACAGCAGGTATGTTACCCTTTTGAATGGAATTTGAGGTCAACTTCTGTCTCTGTAGAGTTATTTTGGTAATTGTTATCAGCTCCTGAATTGCTTTACTCACTCTGAACGTACATATATTTCGTTTTCACACTTTCATTTCTTTACCTGATCAAGTACCATCTTTGCATTTCCCGCTGCGCAGGCCCTTACATTGATTTCGAAAAGAAGAAATAATTCTAACTTTCCGTCGCGGAGGGAGGGGAGGGGGGCATTTTGCATTCCTTGAATCTGTGATGCTTCGTCTTCTTTACCATCAACGGATGGGAATGATGAAATTACTTCATTTCTCTTTCTTTGCGCAGCGAAAAACGTGGTCGCTGCATGCCCTCTTTAAGGATTGAAATCCATCCAAGAGCTCAAGCAAACCAAACCTTCCTATTCCAACAGTTCGGGCGAGATTTTTCCGATTTTCCTTGGTATTTCGAGGATGCTTACAATATAAATCTAATGAAAGCGTGCTTTCCACTAACCAATAAGTCCCTTGACATCTCCAGAGCTGTGCGTTACCAGTAATGGCTTGACGCCCTTCCTAGACATTTTTTTGCGTGAAAATCCATTTATCTCTCTCTTCCACATCGCTGCAACTTCCTCAACAGGTAGAAAGCAGAGCTAGACGTAAATCTATTCGCTGGTAGTGCCTTTAGTCAGCACATTATTCGCACTCCAATCAATGCAAGCATGCGCATGAAGGTAAGATGGACAATACCTTTATATGTTCGAGTGCCACCTATAAGTCCAGCATGGAAGGTCGCCTCTCACTTTTGGAATAGTAATGGTATCACTAAAACTAATTTGAAGCCTAATAGAGTAGTCTGTAAAAGCACTAATCCATTGACTGCTGTTCATTGCAAGTTTCGGTATGCCCCACATGTGCAGCTGGCAAAATATGAAACGGTCAATTAGCCCAACAGCTCACTTTTATGAGGCTTCATTTCGGGAAACTGTAATGACTTGGTTGTTAACAAGCTGCGGCTAACAGCTGCAAATGTTTTTAGACGAAAACATGATAAATGCTCTACTTCTTCTAGAAAAGAAACGAAATAAATTAACGCTTTTGAATGCTCCGAATAAATTATTCCGGAAATCAGAAACCCTTACAAATTACCACTGATCGTAGAGGAGGTGCTCCAAAAGATTCAGGGGAAGTAGTGGTGAGGCTTATGAAGTTTTATGAGGGTGGGTTCATAGACGGAAATCATATGGTAAAGGAGACTCACTTTGCTCCATCGATCCATCCGTGAGAGTTGCTTAACAGCTTAGCCTCCCACTATCGTCTAGATCACTTTCAAAGAACCAGAAGTCGACGCATTTTCGAAGACTCTTGGGTACCATGATCGGTTCTGTGCGTTCGTCGGAGTTGAACTCGGTTTACTTGACATTCGTCGGAACCCGCCTTACTGCCATTTTTGTAACTTGTCTTAGTTTTTTTCCTACTACACGCTATAGGAGCGATGTCATCAGCACATACGATGGCCTTTAGTAGTTTACCCAAGAGATTTTCGTAGTGACATCACTATTACTGGGAAGAACACCAGACTGAGAGCTGACTAATGAACCCCAAAAAAAGGATTGCTTCTGACAGGCAGTGAAGGGTATTGAAGGTTGTTCCCAAACCAAATATATCAATTTGGAATTGACCAGTCGTTGGTAAAAATCTATGGTAGGAGCAGTCAATCTGGCTCCACAGCAGTTGAAGCACATCATCATAACGCTCTTACGTTCGAAGACCAGTCCGAAACACTGTTTTTCCTCGCATTTGGGATGTTTCCCTCAGCAGTTACAGTGTTCAGGATCCGCAGAGCCAACTACGATGTTATATGAGCACTTTCCATGCATCAGTCGCTACCTCACACAGATTTGTCGCTTTCCCAACTTTCATCTTCCTTGTTCACCGATGGTTTTCTGAACCATACTCTGTCTCCAAGAAATTTCGCTCTGCCGAGGAAGTTCCATTATGAGGATTTCACTGAACTGAGCTGGCGAAGATTTATCATGATGATTACCATTTTGTATATGAAACACCAACTCATAGCTTACTGAAGCTTTGAAAACGAGGTTTTCTCGTCTTGATCTATCTCTTTTTCGATGAGCCGACGCACTCCAGACTTCCTTCTGAGAACGGATGGATATTTGAACGCAATGATTCAAGTGGCAGGCCGCTGTTCAAATTAGTGGTTTTATTCTCGAAACGGTCTGGTACGAACTAACCATCACGAAGGGGTAGAGGCTTGGTTGCCCTAAGCGGGTATCGTCTCGACTTTCGTTCGCTTGATAATATGTGTAGTAGCGCACACTCAGCAGTTTCCCTCTTCTGCTTAAACGTTTTCAAAACTATAATGTAAAAAGACTTTTGATATGATGTGGAAATATAAAAGACCTCTATACATAGGTGGCGAGAACAAATTGCTCTTGTGGAATGTGGGCACTGGTGAAGCTTTGTTGGAAATAGCTGGCCACCCGGATCAGATTTGGAGCATCGGCTTCAATTATGACGGATCACACTTCGTTACTACTTGCAAGGTATGAACCTACGATTCTTTCAAGTTTCGAAAATTCCTTCGCTTATACCGATTTTTACCCAATTCATTTCTTTTTGGGTGAAAAA